TCAGCCTCCTATACTTCATATGCTTCGACTCCCTGGCCATCTTAATGGTTCCCTGTGTGAGTCTCCTCAGTTTGCTCATGGTTCTGTCATACTGGAGAGGGCTTAAGGCAGTATTACAGATGCAGTCTCCTAGGAGTGGAATGATGCAGCCCAGTACGCTACCAGACCTCATTGCCACAAGGGTACACTGCAGATACATGTTCAAGACGTCCACGAGAATCAGGGAGGAGTGTTTTCTTCTGCAGGTCTGCTGCAAAAACATAGGGATCTAGCTCCTTTTTTGGCCACTAACTGCCACTGGGAGTCTGGTCAGCTTTAAGAAGCAAGTACATTTGAAATGACTAGGATTTTAAACATACTTAATTATCTGAATTCTAGAACAGATAACAGTCACAATAAATTTCAGCTATTTTAAGCTAACCTTTACATACTCATCTAACATTAAACAAGGCAAATAATTCAACCTTATTACTTTAAAGGATGGAAGTACAGGAACTGTCCTCACCTTCAGCAATAACTATTATCTTCAATAATCATCCAGTGACTTATGTTAATGATCACTACACCATATGAAACAAAATATTTTTGAGATTGCAAATTTACTGAAGACTGTGAAAGTTGAGAAGGTTATAAAATATTTAACAATTCTCCTTTTTTCATGTATTTTGGATTCCTTTCTCCCACTGAAGTTAAGAGAGAATGTGGCTACTCAGATGAGTAGTAATTGCTCTCTGATGAGAGACAGGTATCCACTATCTGCCCCTTTTTCCAAATAAAAGACGATTTCCCGAACATCAGCCTTTCTTATATGCATATTGCTTTTCTCTTCTAGACACAGAGAGAGAAATGACAGCACAGGATTAAAATCTCCTTGGCCACGTTAAATTTCTCCTTAACTGTGGTGCTGGCATATTTAAGCAAGTTGGCAATGCATATAACTACCTGATTAACTTCTAGAGGATGTTTAAAGTCTGGCTTAAGTCAGCATTGCTGAACCTGAACATTATCACATACTTCTTCATAAAGGTTATCATATCTGGGGACAGGGTGTGTAAATCCTGCTATGGTAAGCACTTTACTATACATGATACACAGACATTAATAGTATTTTTTTTTTGCAGAAGAGGATACTCTTCATTTAAGTCTATATATTAAACTGTAGCTGTAATGACCAAACTACTTTTGTCATAAATAAGTTTTCATGTTGATACGCCTAGCTAGCTTTAATTTAAATGTATATTGATTACTAACTTTTTTCTGCTATTTAATTCTTTTCAACATTATTCCATTTAAATACACAATGGTTTCACAGAAGACTAATAGCACATGCATTTAATATAGAACAGAAACACATTTTACATGGATTAAAACAGGAAATTAGAAAACAGGATCGGTTAAGAAGTCTGTAGGGTGTTTTAGCAGCCACTTTTCATTCTCTAAATTTTGCCTGATCTGAGTCAACTAAATTTTACTTTTAAATAAAACTAGCATGTATGTCTGGATCAGGTCTGATTCATTGGTAGCAGAAATTTTTATACTTCTGGAAGTAAAAATCCCTACTTTAATCCCCTTGGAACAAATATTGTAAGTTCTTGATCACAGGAAGACTTAATCACGTCAAAAATACTTCAATGAGGTTTCCAATTTATCTATTAATTACTCCTATATTGTATCTCTCCTTCTCAAAACCCAGCTGGACAGCAATTAAAGTCGTGCAAATAATCATCGTCCTGCAGTACAAAGATCTTCAAGAAATATGCTCTGGCTTTCATCTTAAAGATAAGAAAGAACTTGTTTGGACAAACCCGGAGTTTTTAATGAAAGCCTTCTGGGAAAAATAAAGAAGGAAAAGCTAAATGATTTTACAGTGTTATTAATTAAGTCAAGTTTATGAAACTGGCTTCAGGGTTTTCCCCATAAGAACACTATCAAACTCTTCTTGCATACAACATGCTTCATAAACACTGTTTTCTTCCTATCATTTCTCTGATGAAAAAATACCATCACTTGAAAATAAAATATCAAAATGCTGATAAGAAAACCAGAGATGATTCGACATTGAAAAGTAGTAGTTTACAGATGGCAATTAATGATAACGAACCAGTATATTAGGTACTGACACTTATCTGTTTCCTTGAAATGTTGTTCCTGTTTGAAAAAAGAGGGGTGGGATAGCACAAAGGCTCTCATTGCAACAGCTGTTCAGAGTAATGTGATGGACATGAGAATAGTCTCTAGGAAAAAAATTGACTGTAATTCTGTTTTCAGACTGCATAAACCATTATGACTTTTACCATATTCCCATGCTTTCTGAGAGGTGCTGACTTCAAGTTTCAAAGTGCAGAATAGCTTCATAATACAGCTATCTAAAAAAATTCACAGAACCACAGAGAACCACAGAACATTAGGAGTTGGAAGAGACCTCTGAAGATCATCTAGTGCACCCCCCCTGCCAGAGCAGGATCACCTAGACCAGGTCACACAGTGAATGCATCCAGGTGGGTCTTGAATGTCCCCAGAGAGACTCCACAACCTCTCTGGGCAGCCTGTTCCAGTGCTGTGTCACCCTGACAGTAAAGAAGTTTTTCCTTATGTTTAGGTTGAACCTCCTATGTTCCTGTTTGTGATCACTGCTCCTTGTCCTGTCACTTGGCACAACTGAGAAAAGTCTGGTCCCATCCTCCTGACACTCACTCTTTAGATATTTATAAGCATTAAAGAGATTCTCCCCTCAGTCTCCTTCAGGCTAAACAGACACAGCTCTTTCAGCCTTTCCTCATATGGGAGACGCTCCAGTTCCTTCATCATCTTAGTGGCTCTATGATGGACTCTCTCTAGTAGTTCCTTGTCCTTCTTGAACTGGGGACCCCAGAATTGGACACAGTATTCTACACGTGGCCTCACCAGGGCAGAGTAGAGGTGGAGGAGAACCTCCCTTGATCTACTGGCCACACTCTTCCTAATGCAGCTCAGGATGCCATTGGCCTTCTTGGCTGCCGGGGCACGTTGCTGACCGATGGTCAACCTGCTGTGCACACCAGGACTCCCAGGTCCTTTTCCAGTAAGCTGCTCTCCAGCAAGTCAGTCTCCATTCTTTACTAATACATGAGGTTGTTCTTTCCCAGATACAGTACCCTACACTTGTCCTTGTTGAATTTCATTTAAGTTTTTCCCCGCCCAACATTCCAGCCTGTCCAGGTCATGCTGAATGGCACGACAACCTTCTGGTGTGTCAGTCACTTCTCCCAGTTTTGTATCCTCAGCAAATTTCCTGAGGGTAGGTACACTCTGTCCCATCATACAGGTAACTGATGAACACACTGAACAGGGCTGGAACCAGTACTGACCCCTGAGGAACACCACTAGATACGGGCCTCCAACTGCACTGTGTCCCACCGACCATAACTCCCTTCAGCCAGTTCCCAATCCACCTCACTATCCAATTTCACACTTCTTAAGGTTGACTGTGAGGATGCCATGGGTGATGGTGTTGAAAGCCTTGCTGAAGTCAAGGTAGACCACATCCACTGCTCTCCCCTCATCCATCCATCTAGTTATGCCATCATAAAAGGCTATCAGATTGGTCAAGCATGACTTCACCTTGGTGAATCTATGTTGACATCTTCTGATAACCCTAGTTTCCCTGACATGCTTTGAGACAGAGCTGAGAGACTGCAGGATGGGCACATGATCAGAGGGCAGATACACATCTGGTCCCACGAAGGGTATCCACAAACAGTACAGAGCAGACAGAATAAACAGCATATGTGCCATCTCACAGAAATTTTGGCCATGTGATGTATTTGTTTTTGATCATGTGGTCACTGTACAGTTAATTGCTGCAAACTAATTTAATAACTTTAATAATATGAAACTGTTCATACCCTTGATTGTTATAAAAATGAGACAGGAACACTATTGTCATGTTTTGATAAACATTTAGGGGCATTTTTAAAGAGAAATAATTCAGATCTTTATGAATAGCTTGAATTAAAAAAAGAAGATTTGAAAACATTTGAAAGCCAAATTGTGATCAATTTTAAAATCATACACTTTTAAGGGGAGTAGCAGACTCCTTTGTAAGTTTTAAGTTACATTTTTTATTATAAGTTTGTTTGTAAACAGTGACACTTGCAAAAGGTTCAATGAATTGATATGATAATTCTTCAAATAATAATTATCACAGAAGTTACTCAATCTGATCAGCATGGAAGAGTTGCTTATTAGTGCTTGTCTGGATACCAATCTAGTAGATGACTTAAGCATATCAGGTTAATCTTACAGTTAAATAAGTAGGAATTTATGCTTTGCTGCATGAGGATCTTAGAAGTAAAATGTCATTAAATGGTTACGTTTTTCTTCAAAGTCAAATGAAGACGGAAAAATATTAACAAAACTAAGAAACATATTGTTGTAACTAACACATGTTGCCTTTCTTGCCTTAAAAATATGATTTAAAGAGCAAGGTCTGCTTATTCTTGCTGCCAAGATATATCACCTATATCTATCTAGATCTATTGATTTCACTCAGTAAACCAATTTATCTTACTGCTACCAAATATAGTAAAATATTTATATTTCTGAGTTGTGAACTGGCAGGTTTTTTAGGACGTCTGCTTAAATGTATTGGTCTCTGGACTACTAGGAAATGAAGAGAGACATACAGACCTCTCTAGCCACATTCTCCAGTTGCATTTGCTTAGAAAATTATTTGCAACTATCAATATATATTTACACAAGAAAAAGGAGTAACTTCTGCAGAGACTTTCCTGCATAACTCTGCAATTAAAGAGCGCTTCAAATATTTACCAAAACAATGCTTAACTGAGAAACTGAAAATACACTGTTGGTACTTACTGAGTGCCAGCTGGACTATTCAAATATGGTCATAACAGTAAAAAATAATCATGCTTTTAGTGCTGTATATACTCCAAGCTCCTTGCAAATATTCATTAAAATGTTTCCAAAACAGCAAACAAGGAGAAATCACTTAGACTCACCCACATTTAGTCTGCCAGTGACTTCTCCATTTGAATTGCGAGCATTCACAGTCACATTGTGAGTAGACTGGAGAAGCAGTGATGAGTCCTGAAGTATGGAGAAAAAAAGAAGTAGATTCAGCAGAATAATTAGAATTGTAAACAATTAAAGAAACACATGTTCTCATGAAAGTTTAAGGGGATCATAACCAGTTCCAAAATTTGTGGATGGAAAATTATCTAAGGAAAAATAGAAAGTCAGAGACAGGGTACAATAGGACCTAGGAAGCACATACTTTTATGTTACCACCTAAACCAATTTGCAAAAATACACACATGCACAGAAGAGAATATGACCAATGAGAGGATGATGTTTTGACCATCAAAATATAGCTGAGCTGAATGAGCTATATAGTTGAGAGACAACTCCCTAACACCTGATGACACATGTTCCTGCTACAACAGGCTAACTCTGAGTTTGTTGTAGGAAAGTCAACAAACCATGCAACAACTTTCAATGCTGTCTCTAAGTCTGAAATCAATGGAAAAGAAACTTAGCCATGTAAAAGGCTGACCATGGATACCTCAAACCTTTTCCACTCTCACTCACTTGTCTACCAGGGCCCAGGAGAGTTCCAGTGAGTATAAGGAGTACTTGAAGGGGCAGAAGGCAAAAGACGATTTAATGTAGCTTACTCAAAGAAAGGATTGAAGAAGATCCGCTGCAGCAAAGCATACTGCCCTTGAAAGGACATCTGCCCAGTGTCACTGCCAACCTTCCTCAGATCAAACTTCTCAATTTGTTTTCCAGCTCTACCCTTCCTCCCATACTGCCAGTCTGGACTTCCAGTCTTGCATCAGTCTGATAATAAGTATGTGAGATGTTCTACTGAGGCATGGCAAGTAGGTAATCACATTAGGCATTACGGAATTCTCACAGGTTGCATCACAGATGTGACATCTTCAGAGCAATCAGAGACTCATGCCTACCTATCATTCTGTGCCACTTACGCAAGCCACAGCATGTTGAGCAGATGTAGTTAGTATCTTCATCCACCCCTACCAAACCTCACCACTATCCAGTCTAGCTATGATAGGCAATTCAAAAGCTCACGTCATTCTTTGACTGCAGTCAGCATGAGGTTACTTCAAAACATCCCTTGTGTTAACTCATGGCTTGGTGTTGAGCTTGTTGAACTCCTTCAAGGTGCCACACCATTCCCATTACTTTTACCCAGACCTCCCACTCAAACTCTCTGTACTTTGGGGGTGCCTCCCCCACCCACTGCTTGTTGTGAAAAGCAGATGAGTAACTGTTTTGAAAGTCCTAGCTGCCCACTGTGCTCCATCAGACTAGATATACAGAGAGTAGTGAAACAGGCTCATGGCAAGATAACTGATGGGGATCATTTGGAAGCATCCTAAAACTTTGTGAGGAGGGAATTCAGTGGGTTCTTCTTATAATTTCCTTTGCTTTACCACCTGAATTGTCTGCAAATGCAGCTGATTTTCAGGGAGGTCATATTGGCCATTGTTTTTACTAGATTTTAAGTATCAGAAAATTATCTGAGGACAAAAAGCCTGATCATGTTCATTCTCATCAGCGAATTGTAGCCACACTGGCAGACTTGAGAGGATGAAGTTTTTAGCAGTACAGGTGTTCTCATACTAAAACATACTTTATATCTAAAGGACAGGAATCTAGTAACCCAGTAACTGATAAGAGTACCTAAGCAGATATCAGTTGCCAAAGTTTCAGATGTGGAATAATTACCAGAGATGGCTTGAAAACTGACCTTATATTAAAGATATGGCACTGTTTGCACATTAAGGAAAGGTATAATATACAAGAATAGCTTCTTGTATACCACCAGTCCAGGGTGGAGTGCAGTTGGTATGCAAAGAATACATTCCACAGTGGTTCCCTAAGCAACACAAGCTGCAACTTCAGAAACAGCATGGAGGATGGAGTGGAGTGGAGACACCACGGGCAACTTCTGTTGCCAACATTGCAGAGATGGGAACTTGATGGTACTATGGAACTGAGAAGCTTTACTTTTACTACCCTGGGCCAACAGTCTGCCAAAAAATGACAAAATGCTGGCCTTTGTGTGAACTTTGCTCATTATAATGTCATCGTAATACCAGAACACACCTCCATCCCAAAGGCTACCTGCCTCCAAGGTGCGACCAACCCTCACTGAGGCTGTGCACTGAATTTTCTTAAGTCTGTAACTTTAAATCGAAGCAAAAGAATTTACACCAATCATAACAAAGTTATGTATGACTAAAGTCACTCAAGCTCCACCCGTCCAGGTAAAAGTAATATAAATATAGTCTGAGAGAGGGGGGACATTGGGGAAGACATCATTGTCAGAGAAGTCACACATCATGGACCATTCCTGACTCCAGGGACCAGTTGACAGGCTCAGCCTCTTCCTCCTTCATAGGGATGCCTTTGGGTAAGATCTGACCACTTGGTTATACCAAGTGCATCCCTGGGAAAATTTAGAAATCTCTAGAGTTACTTTTTATTGTGCACGTTTATCTCCTAACACTTGCACATGCTTTGCAGACAGTGTATTTGTCACTGGCAACCCATAAGAACCTGTATTCTGTTGCTTCAATAAACTGCATTTTCATTAAGTAGAATCTTCATCAGGTGCTGTCTGGGTTTCCAAGTGTGGTGGTGAGAGTCCATGCATCATGATTACACTGAAGATGCAGTGCACACTACTGGTGAATCTGCAATTGTGCCGCACTAATAGTGCTGAATTGGCTATCACCCAGAATCTAAGCCTAGCTGCCCCCAGCCCTTCTAATATCTGAGGACAAGCTGGAACGCAAAGGGTTTATTTTCTGTCAAATTGTTCCACCTCTTAATGCGACATCAGGGAATGCATGATATGAAGAGGGTATTAGCAAGATGCCTACTTGTGACCTCAAAGGGGACCCTCATTCCTAGATAAATAAGTGAGTTTCTAACTATTGGAGTATTGGCACTTTTTCTGGACTCAAGAAAGACTATGCAGCACCTTGAAAGGCTAATCCCTGAAAACCACTCCCAAATTATGTTTCCATTGTAATTTCATGCTTAGAGTATTTCATTTTATGTGAAGAACGTTACTACTAAAAGCAGCGGCAGAAGCAATACACAGGTAGGAGTCCAACTTATATTTGGTTTTGATTTTTTTAAATGGATATCTTACAGGTAAGAAGATAGGTTCTGGCAAAATAGTCACTAAGTCACCACAATAAATTAATCTCATTTTGTAAATTATCTCAGGAAAAAGTTAACAAAATTAACATAAATAAAGAAAAGTCTTCAGAAAAAAGTAAGCAGTGTGTTAGAATGAACATTAATGGTAACAAGTTAGTATGAAATGGAAAAGGAAGGTCAATAAAGATCAGGTAAATATATTACATGTAAGTATATGTGCTAAATGACCCACAAACCTGGGCATCCCTATTACACTTATTTCACTGCCACTAGTTGATTTAAAAAATAAGTTAGTAATTTGTAGTATCAAATTTAAGTGTGAATAAACTGTATTCTAGATCTGCAGCTTCCATATGTGTATGGTTGACTAATTAAAATCTAGTAACATATTTATAAATGCTCATCTTTTTCCATGAATATGTATCTACTAAGACGCAATGGTATTACCCACAACTTTGTGTGGGACTCATAATGGAGGCATAAACTTGTAATAGGCTCCAGAGATGATGCAAAGCAAGTAGATTTTCTGCTACATATTTTCTTAGCACTTTGGAGACCTCATTAGGTGAGAAAAGCTGTTAGAAGACTGCAAGGAGAACGCTATTAAGGCAAGAGAGAAAGCTGCTATGAGCTGTGAGTGGCCCAGTTCTCTAACTGACAAACTTAGAAAAAAGAATTAGTAACAAATAAGGAACTTTATGAGAATAAATATATAGATGGCACTCAGGAGATCAAGCTACTGGCAATTAAGGCTCTAGAGAGTTCAAATATTTTAAAAAGCTAGCAAACAAACAAACAAAAACTTCTGATGAGTTATCAGTTCATAGAGAGCACAGGCATGCAGTAGTCTGCAGGCTCTAATTAATGCACGCTATTAATGATCATGATGGGTCATTAGGCAGCTAAGCTTATATTAGATGTTGCCACACCTCTTTCTTCCTATATGGCACTAAATGTATTAAAAGCTGGAAGAATTATTAAAAGAGCAGGAATGGCAGTTGATCATTGCATAACAATTTCTTTGGGTAGAGGGAGTTCTTAAGTATTAGCTATGCTGGTCTTAAATAAGACATGTCTTATTCAATAAACAACCTCAAGGGAAATTCATTTAAGAATATAAAGAATTTTCCCACTGCCTATGAGGCAGTAAAAAATACAGCGTAAGAAACAAAACAGAAATCTAGGTTCAGCAATGGAATTTCACCATCTAAGTAAGAGCTGTTTCTGCTACTGGAAATATTTGTCACAAAAAGAAAAAGAAAGGCTTAATGGACATAAAATATGATCGTGTTGTTTAAATTTCAGTAATCAAGCATTTTAACAAACTCAAACTAAATAGCTATTTCTTCTAATGACTTAGTGAGGATGATTACATGTTTGAAGAAATGAAAGAGCCATACTCAGCTTTTACTCTCACTGAATAGTACTTTATTCAATGAAATGTCCCACTGTTTGACTATACTGTTCATAAAACACTGCTTTATTTTTGAGAGTTTAAATTAGAGACAATAGTTCTGAATAATATTCATTTTCTTGGCCAGAAACAGAGAGTGCTCCACAAAAAATTAACCTGAATAAGTTTCAGAGTTCACTTGGATAATTAAAAAACAATTCAGATTCTCACTTTCTTCCTCTAAACTCAGCACTCCAATAAATTTTTTTCGTACCATACCCATTCTCAGTGTCATTTTAAAGTTAATCTGCTTGATAAATATTTTGTTTGACCAAGTATGTTATTCCATTTTTAACTCAATAATAATTTTTCTGCCTATGTAAACAAGATACAATCCTAAATCTTACCACTTAGGCTTGTAGGTTTTATATACATAAATATATAAAGATACCATACATTTAATACCATTATCCTAGAAGTGACAAAAACTGAACTTAATATAATTATAACTTTTTCAATACAATTTGTTCATTTTAGAGATATTTAAATTATTTCATAGTGGATTGAGTCTGCATTAAAAATAGTAAGTAAAAATAATTAAAAACTTTCTACACACTCATTATAAGCAATGACCTTTATGATTCCTTTTTGACCCATTTCTTATCACATGACTAAGAGAAAAGTGTTAATTCTGCCATAGCATCAAAACACTGACCTAATGACCATGCTTGTAAAGTATGCAAAACAGACACACATATATATATATATACACATTTCCATGACAGGTACCTGGATTTTCAACTGTTCATAAGTGCATTAGTTTTATTTTAGCATTACGGAAAGATTATCTGCTTACCACTCGAGAATGGATTTCTTTGGCATAAAGAGGGAATAAAAATTCTGATTCCCCTTCCAGACGAAGGCCTTCTTTTGTAACACGCAGGTGTCCCATTCCAGTCTGAGGAGAAGATGAAAGGATTATGCATACTTTATTATTGTTGCTGCATCTATTTTTTGTTCTTTTCTTAAGTAGAAAATTTCCAGATCTGCCTGCCTCCAGTCTATTGATAATATTTACCCATAAGTAAATAAAGTATTCAGCCCATATCTTATTTCATCCTTTTTACTTTCTCTCATCACTATAGAATTGATAATGTGAAAAACGAGTGAGGAATTACTTCAGAAAGTACATCTGAGGACTTCCAGACTACAGCTGCAAGGTATTTCACAGATATTTAGCTAATCTGTAAAGGATTCACCTCTCCCCTGCCATAGTAAGTGAGAGAAAGCTTGGCAAAAAATTTGCAGCCTTGCAGCTTGGCTACACACAAATGTATTTTAGGTCAACTGTTTCACACTACAAGGAATAGGTGAGAGCTAAATAATAAACAATAAATCTGAAAAGTATTTCCACTCCCGGTACTTTTCAGGTTGTTCTCCGTGTAAGCAGAAGAGACACGTGACAGCCCACACTGACGACACATCAGTAACCTGTTCCTCTAATGAGTTATGCCTACCACTGAAAAAAGTTGTAACTTCAAGAGATGGTAATTATTTTCAAGTATGGTATGTTCTCACCAGTAAGATTATATATATTTTATATACATATAATGCTAAATAATATGTCTAACTAGCCTTCATTGAAAAACTAGCTTTGTTTCTTTTAACAGGCTTAAAGAGAGACACAAGATTTGTTTAAATTCCATAAGGTAAGAAATACTCGTATCAGCAGTTCATGCCACTGGAGAGTACCACTGTGATTCCTCCTCAGCAAGGATTTATTTCAGGAAAGAGGCTTTTTATGGAAACTGTTATTCAGTGTCAATATTTTACTGCTTTGAAAAAACATAATGTACTGATTTTTCTCAGTGGAAGTAGATACAATTTCTAAATTCTAGACCATTGCAAAGTTTTTAAGAAGTACCTAGTATATACTGACACATCTTATGAAGCAAAACTAAAATAAGACCTATAATGAGTCCACTATGGCTTTCGTAATCGCAATTCCTAGACAACACTGACACATTTAGGAATATGTTTTTCTAGTGAAGACTATGGACAGTTTTATCTAACTTGTTTAGTGTCTTACTATTGATCTGATATCATGCCGTTTCTCATCTGGTGAAAGTAGATTATATTAACCATTATGTTTAAACACAGTTTGCATATTTTTCCTGGAATATACAGAACTACGTAAACAATGTATTATAAAGTATAAAAATGACAGTGACAAATCTGAAATTTAAGAAGGCAGAGGAAGGAGCAGCAATTAATTCTTGCTCTGAAGCAGAATGGGGAAAGTTAACGAACTCTTGGGTGGCAATCTCTGTCCTGCCTTTGGCTTTGCTAAGAAGAAATTTTTAGTAGAGACAAATAACATATAATTGATGTTGAAAAAGAAGATTATGCAATTTACTCAGAACATTCTTTCTAATGGACTGAGATTTTTCAGCAATGATTATTCTAAAAATGCTATATAGACAAAGAGATGTCTCTGACATCAAGAACAGTATGCCATGTGAAAAAACTTAGCAATTTAACTTATCTGTAAGTTCGTATTTTTCAGTAAATCCAGTCATATCACTCAGGATTACTTTGTAAAAGTATGTCCTCAAGTATGCCTGATATTCTTCACTGGATATTTAATTTAAGTATTGACACAAAGCTCACATTCTCATATATTTGAATAAGAGCCTCATTATCCATTCTCACTGACCACGTGGGAAGTGCAAACACATATGGAAATTTAGACTTGAGTTACCTGCATAAATGACTATCTGCGGCAACTAACAGATAAACTCTGCAACATGCAAGAGAACAATAAAAACGTGGATTTCATGTAATGATCCTCAATTCTTTTACCATAGAGACTGTAAAAAGATATTATTTCCTTAGTATCATGATATTTGAGCATCTCAAGATTGTAAAAGTACCGAGTTATACAGTAGTGTGAGATGAGGAAATTCTATTATCCCCCTTTTATAATAAGCAAGTTGAAGTTACATGAAATATAAAATAGAGGGATTTAAGGTAAACAACCATCCTAATGCACTGAGATCGAATGATAAGTTTCATAAAAAGGAATAGTATAAAGTTACACATAATGTTCTCTCAACAACCACTCTGCTTCTTACATTACCATTAAGGAGAAGCCAATTATTATTTACTGAGTATTGTGACTTCCTCAGTAATGAACAACCCCAACACTTTTGGTTTCAAGGATCTGATTCTGTTCCTATTCAAATCATTGAATGGAAATATTTCTGTTGTCTTGAGGAAAAGGTCCAAATATCAGTTAGACATGGACTTTGATGCAGTTATACAATAAGCTATTCATTAGGGAAAACAAACCAAAAAAAGTGCTTCATTAAACATAGCAGATGTATGGCAAGTCTGGATTCTTGTTATCCTGATGCTGGTGATTGTCACTGATTGAGTGTGCTGGCCCTGAGCTGTAACACATTGTTGTGTACAGAACCCTGATACTCACGTTTTCCAACTACGCAAAGACCTCACTGAGGCAGGGATTGAGCTGTACAGAAGAGGAGGATGAAATGGTATCTCTGTAGCCACTAAGCAGATTTTGCTGTTGCTGCAAGGAGCTGTCATAGGAAGCCCTAGCAGCTGTCAAACCCTTATGCACCAAAGATACAATTGAGCATTAGTGTTCACAAAAGTGTATTCATTTCAAAACTGCTAGGCTTATTCTAATTGGAGTAACAGGATGCCTTCAACTGTGGTAGTTGAAGACAATGGTTTTTCATAATTTGAAAATGTTCCTGAGGAGGTATGTGTTCATAGAAACAGACACACGGTCTTCTACAAAAAAATTCAAGCTTTGTGTGGGTTCAAGCCTCATAAAAGCTCAACAAAAGGCACTTTAATTCAGAAATCATGGTCCAGAGGATATTTGACAGCTATTGAGTGAATTGCCTACATAGGAGTACTCCAAACCACCTGAAATGAGTAGCCTCCACTACTAGAATCTGAGGTAAGACTCATGCCATGAAGTATCTGGATGGAAGGACCATCTTAGATGAGTTATCATTCTCTTAGACTCTAGATAAAACATATGCAGAATACTTTTCCTATGAAATAAAGGGAAGCAGTTCCATTCTCCACAAAGCCAGTAGAGAAGTGCAGTATATATACAAGCTGTGGAAAGGCTCTTTAGTTTCTTTCAGAGGACTGTAGAAGGACTGAGTCCTTCATCAAGACCAAAAAGTTCCAAAATCCATACTGATATGAAACTTCTGGATATGAATAACTGTGTTGAGGAAAATGGAGAAATAATAGGATAAAGCAAGTTTGACAGTATTGATATGGTTAGCTCTGTCTTGTTAAAACAAGATGCAAGAACTTGCCCTCTTTCAAGAGGAGGAGTTAAGAGCATGTTTGATTTGTAATACCTGCTCCCTGAATATTCAGACTTCCAAATATGAGAAGCCCACACATGCTGTAGTTGCTGATTGGAACTGACAATGACATTAATCTCAGAGTAGACAGGATGCAGTATTTCTGTTCAGATAATACCTTTTCTTACTTACAGGGTACTTATATCCTACTTTTAGGCCAGCCTAGGGAAAGACATTGGCAAGTTCAGACCAAGACAACATTTGTTGTGCCCCAAAGCTAGTTCAATTAATGGCTTTATAGATCCAGCTTTCACTGCAGTACTTCTTGCAGCAATTCCTATTTAGAGAACTTGCTTTGCAAACAAGAGCGTACTGTTTCACTGAGATAATAGGGCTGTGGGTAGAGATTGTTAAAGAGCAATCAGCAAAACAGGATTGGTAATGAATCTGATGAAACGCTCTGTTTGACTTACAATATCTATTTTGGAACTAAGTACGTGCTTGGTATAATAACATTACTGATGCCTCATCTCATTTTCTGTTGCAAGGACTCTGTTTCCTGGGCTCAGACAGAGAAGGTTATCCAACTCCTCTTCTTAGATGACAACAGTCTTTTCTGTCAAAGACATTGGTCAAATCAGAGCGCTTGGCAACAGCAAGCACTCCTAGAATATAAGTCAGTATCACCTGGCTCAGGACTGGCTACAGACTGAAAGACCCTTTGCAGACATTGTTAGAAAGTGGGAAGGTAATATTCCATGATCTAGAAAAGTAGAGGGCCACTTTGAACTCAATAGTTTTGTAAGGAAATGGCTACGAAAGATGCAAATCCATCATACCATTGACATTTGCTTAGTTTTGATAAGATTTCTTTCATAAAACAGGATATTTAATATTTAATAATTTAATATTTAAGATGCATACTTTCTATTTTCAGGTCCTCTTTGTCCTGATATATAGAATTCCTCTAAAGTAAAAAAGGTATTAATTACAAGAGGTATTAATAAAGAGAAAAAAAATAGCTTCTCAGAACTTTCAGTTTCATGTTCTTTTCCTTGTTTGGCAAGGATCAAATTCTGTCTGTGGTTCTGGCACAGACATTTCAAAGCTGGATAATACCTGGCTAATAGAAGTGCCATTACATCTGGCATTACATCTCCTGTGATTGATTTACTAAACATTAGAAAAATACACTGCTAACCCCACTGCTACATATATTTACTCAGGAATTGAGTTTTTATAAGTTGACTAATTCATTTTATCATATTAACACTTGTAATTATGCAACTTAGCTAAAGAAATGGAATTAAATCTTTTGCTTTGATTTGTAAAGGTTGTCATAAAGGATTTCCTTAAGAACAACAGTGTATGGTGTTTATTTCTTGAATTCTTCTGAGGAATCAGGGATATTTGCACAGTGTATATGATTACACAGACTATGTATTGATTCAATATTGTAAATGCTATCATTTGTACCAGGGGATGTTTCATCATATCGTCTGTGCTCTATGCCTTGTGTAAGCGCACAGTGATGAGCATCTTCACTCTGACAGAATTTGCTGTTTAAATAGTCAAGATGACAAAAATGTAAGATAAAAAAAAG